AGAGTTCAATAAACATGCACTATTGACCAACATCACTTGTGAATACAGGTGCAAAACTCAGAAAGTGTTAGCAAAGGAAATTCGGAAGTGTATAAAGATACTAACTCATTATGACAAAGTAGATTATCCCAGGATTACAGTGAGGGTCTAAATCAGAAGATGTATTTTTGTAATCCATTGCAATAATAGATTAAAGGAAAAAACATATGATCATTTTAACAGTTACAGAAACATTGATGAAAGTCAATAATTATTTGTGATTTTTTTAAAAAAGTCTTAGCAAACATGGAATAAAAGGGATTTTTCCTTATCCTGGAAAAAAGGCATTTATCAGAGGCAAATATTTCGTGTTTAACTTTAAAAGCATTTCCATTAAAGTCAAATATAATACAAGGTCACTTATTATAACCCCTTGAGTATTCATGGAACAGGGCTTCCTGGCCAGCACAGCAAAGAAAATAAGAGTTAAAGAATCTGGAAAGGAAGATACAAAGCTTGTTATCTGCAGATGACATAATTTCTTAAGTAGAAAACCCAAGATAATTGACAGAGAAATAACGGTTTTGTTGGAAATAATATCAACACTACAAAAGTCATCAACAATAATTATAAACTAGGATAAAAAAAGATGCATTATCCCTAAATCAGAAGTTACCAAAAATAAATGTAACACAGGGTAGATACATGAGACTTTTCTAGGGAAAAGCATGCTCATTGTTAAAAGACATCTTCAAAGAGACAAATAAATGAAGTCATGTTATGATTTATATACAGAATAAAGGTGAAGGTGTCTACTCTCCTCAGATTAATTTATAAAGTCAATGCAATTCCAATCAAGGTAGCAACAGATGTTTCATGGAAGTTGACAAGCATATCCAAAAATTCACCTAAAAGGGTGAAGGGTCACCATCTGACCTGACAATTCTACTCCCAGGTATAGCCCCATGATAGTTGAAGACGTCTAGACAAGTAGAAGACCTTGTAGATAGATGTTCCAAGCAGCATTGTTCATAGTAGCTGAAAAAGGAAAAACCAAATGTCCACCAGTGGGTGAAGGGATAAATAAATTGTGGTCTATCCATAAGATGAAATATTTTCAGCCATAAAAAGGAATGACATCGTTGTTAGTGTAAATCTTAACCACCTCAGCACACACTTTCTTTCTTTTCCTTATGAAGTAAGAACTTTCACATTTTCATTTATAGGAAGCACTTTATAGCCTCTCTTTGGCATGTCCGGCACAGCTAGTCTTGTACCTTGGGGCAATTTTTAAGTAAATCAGGGGCACTTGAACACAAGCACAGTGGTCCCTTGACAGCAGGTCTGATAATGAAGGGCCATGAAGTGACCAGAGGGACACGCTCAGAAAAAGGAAGATTCTCATCCCAGCCAGATGGGGCAGGATGGCGTGAGATTTCATCCTGCTACTCAGAACCATGTGCAGCTCAATACTTATGAATTGTTTACTTCTGGAATTTTCCATTTAATATTTTTGGACCTTGGTTGACTGAGGGTAACTGGAAGCAGGCATGCAGAACCAAGAATGAGGGGGACGACTGTATGTCATGTCAGAGGTGCCTGTTGGGAGGGGGAAGGACACTCAGTAGGCTGGTCACCTGTCACACCGTCCTTTGGACTTTAGAGGACAAATCGTAACAGTATCAGTGAATCAGGACACTGGGTCCAAGGAGCCCCATCCACTCTCTTATTTCTTCCCACCGTAGTCCCACTAGGCGGGCAGCAACCTCTCATAGCTGAGAGTTTAACCGATTTGCATAACTTTCCTAAGTTCACACAGATTGTTTTCCCCTCAAATCTAAGAGGAAAGCCACGAGAGGGAGCTCAGAATCGCTGTATCACAAGGCTACAAGTGGCTCCCAGAGGACCCATTGAAATGCAGATATTTAAATATGTTTACCTTTAAAAGATTAAAAAGAGTAATGTAGTAAAATTAATAAATAAAGTATAAATAAAATAATAAAGATTCATGAATTCATACTGATAATAAATAAATAACAGTGGTCAATAAGTAAATAAAATAATAGTTGATGAATTTTTACTGAATAAAACAGAAATTCAGCAGTTCATATTGGTAACAAATCATCTGGCCAACACCACCTTAACCAACTGATCAAAATTAATGCAGTTAATGTCACTAAAAAATGGGGCAAACTCTCATTGCTTATCTAGAAGATCCCAGTACTGTCAGAGATATTTGCTGGAATTAACAGGTGAATTTAGCACGGTCAAAGGATATAATGACAATAGATAAAAATCAGCTGTATTTCCACATATGAGCAATGAACAACTGAAAATTCTAATTTTAAAAATAACATTTGTAGTAGCGTTAAAAGCATGATTTGGATGTGTTGATAGATATGTTCGTGATCATGTGGTGGTGACTCCCTGACTATATACATTTGTTAAAGCTCATAGAATTGTACACTTAAAATTAGTAGCTATTATTGTTATGTGAATTAGACACAGACAGAAAGCATGTGCCATGTGCCAGGTGTGGCACAAAACAAAACATCTTTCCCATTGGAGCTAACTTTCTAGTTATGGTGAGACATATGACAATGAATATATGAATGAACGCACATGTCAAGTAGTGAGAAGTCCTCAGAAGAAACATAAAGCGAAGGTAAGGGCTGTAGGATAGGGAAAGAGGAGGGTTTGGATCATTTTACACAGAACGGTCAGGAGTGGGTTTGCACAGATAAGATGACATGAGCAGAGACCTAAATAAAATGAAAGCATGAACTAGGTAGGCATCAGGAGGAAGAGCTTTTCAGCAGGCAGGAACACCCATGGCAGCTAGAATAGGGGCTAAGAAGTGATGTGGCTGGGAGAGAGGGAGCAATGCAGATGGAGGCAGGAGACTGGGGCACCGATCACATAGGGGCTGGAAAGTCACAGAAGGAAGGGCCTAGACTTCATCTGGAGTGACGTGGACATCATTGGAGGGATCTGTGCAGGAGTTGTGTGAGCTTTCATTAAAATCATTCTGATGCTGTAGGTAAGCTGAGAGGGGAATTTAGAAGGCGTTATGGGCAGAAAATTAATAAACAGAAACCCTCAATTCAATAGAACTGTGGACCAAAAGGGGGCTTCCATGCCTTGTGGGGATAGCAGAGCCCAACAGGAAGAAGAAAGACTCCTCTGCTCTCCTGCAAGGACGCAGCCAAAGAAAAGCCGTGGAGTCTTTGTTTACTGTAGCCCTCCCAACTGCCTTTTCCTATCACACTGTTCTACTGTTCTTGTGGTGGGGGAACTTGCACGTGGTTCGCAGTGGCTGCAGACCTTGAATTGCAGTTCTCTGCTGATCCCAAATAAAACTCTTTTCTGAAGAACTATCTGGCAGTCTATTTTAGGCCAACAGGGGTGAACTGGGCCCCCTCCCAAAATTATGTTGAAGCTCTAACCCCCAGTACCTGTCAACACAACTTTACTTGAAAGCAGGGTCTTAGCAGATGATCAAGATGAGCTAGGTGGGCCCTAATTCAACGTGCCTGGAGTCCTCATAAGAGGAGAACAACACCGAGGACAGAGTCACTTGAGGAAGTGCATGCAGTGACTTAGACAGAGCTGGAGTGATGGAGCCACAGGACAGGGAAGGCATGGGATGGATGGTCCCCTCCTGAAGCCAGAGAGCAAGCCTTGACTTAAGACTCTGGCCTTCAGAACGGTGAGAATACACATGTCTGTTGTTTAAGCCCGTCAGTTTGGGGCCACTTATGGCAGTCTCAGGAACCGAATACAGAACGCCAGGGCTACAACCACCTAATCCTGATGGCGCTTCAAACGGGTGTGCAGGGAGACAACTTCCAGACGTTCGTAAGGCAGGGCCAACAGGAGGAGGGGTGCGTGTGGGGCAGAGAAGTCCGGATGCCCTCCAGGTGTTGCCTAGAGCAGCTGGAAAGAGGGGCTCCCAGCCACTGAGGTGGGGGACACGGCTGGCGGCCCAAAAGCTGCTCTGGGAGATGCCAGGCGGATGGACCAGCCGGGGGTCCGGGAGAGACCGGACCGGGGACCGGGGACCTCGGAGGGCACGTAACAGATCCAGGCCGGGAAAAGGCGGTCCTCCAAGCATCCACCTGCTCTCCGAGGCCTAACGCCACCTGACAGGCGTCCCAGGGACGACTTGCCCACCAACGAGGCACCATTCTGTCTCGAACACTTTCTGTAATGCTTTCAGCCCCCAAAACGAACAATAGAAACATCCCAACCCCTAAACCATTAAGACGCATCTCCATTTAAACCTTCCCGCGAAATTCCAAGGGTCCCAGAGGTGGGGCCCAGGCCTGGTTGGGCAGCAGGATTGTCAATCATCTGGAGCCATCTGTGACTGGTGGAGGGCAGTCCGGGGCGGGGCGAGCCCGGATCAAGGGCTGCTGCGAGAGGGAAGTCCGCTTCCGGCAGCGGAACAAGAGGGTAGCCGGGAGCCCGGAAGTCGGCTGGTGCTTCCTGCGGCTGCGCGGGGGCTGCCGGGAGCCCGGAAGTCCGCCGATGGCGGTGGGTTCCGGCTGCGCGGCGGTCTGGGGCTGCAGGCGAGG